GAGAAGAAGTCTCTTCCCAGGGAGGCCCTGAGACCCGGGGAGTGCTGCAGCTGGTCTCTTCTAGCTGAAGAGAGATAGTCTGTTCCCCAGAGAAGGGCAGCTGGTCAGAGTGAGAGGGACAGAGGAAGATTAGCACCAGCAAGAGGAGGGGCAGCATGGGTAGTCTGTAAAGAGCAAGGGTCAAACGCCAGCTCTCCTTGGTGACTGTGTGGCCTTGGGCAAGCGGCTGAGTCTCTGGGACCCTCGGTTTCCTCATCTGTAAAATGGGATACTGCTGACCTCCCAGGGAGACTAGGAGAATTGCTGGTCAGGGGAGCAAGGTGCGGACGCGGTGTCCAGGGCTTCTTCAGCACTGGATGAGGGGGTGTTATCTTGCTTTAACTTTGTCTCATCTCTAGACCTGGCCAGGACTAGGGGGAGGGAGGGGAGGAGGCGCCTCAGGTGCACCATCTGAGGAGGCATCGCTCCCAGGATTGGGGAACGTGCTTGCAAGACCTGAAAGGGATGCCTCCTTAAGTGTCGTGCCTAAGTCGTCGTCACCCGAGGCCCACCTTGCTCAGACTCCCTGTTTGGAGACCCTAGAGTGGTGGTCCACGGAGAGGAGGGACTGGCTTCTAGCACCAGTTCCATACCTGCCACCTGTCCCCAAGGTGGATTCTGAGTCGGCCGGCTGGAGTCAGGGGTTTCTGGGGCACAGGCGGAGGTGCTTTTGGACGGTCCTGTGGGGCTGGGAGTCACTTGGGGAAGACTGGGGTCCTTAAGTTGCAGGTTTGGTCCCAAGAGTGGGTGGGGTGTGGTCAGAGGGAGGGCGCTGTCCCTCCCTGGGCTCTGTCTGCGTCTGCCCTCTACAGCCGAGCTCGCGGGGCCCAGTCTGTGGGTTGACTGGGGACTCGGGGTCAGCGGCAGTGCCATGAGCTTGGCAGGGTGCTCTGCCAACCTGGGAGTCAGCCCCGGCTCTGCCATGCACCTCACCACATGACATCTGTGGGTCGTCCCTCTCGGCATCTCAGTGTCCCAGTTGTGGAGCGGAGGAGCGAGGGGATGAGGTCTTAAGACCCTCTGATGTGTGTGAGAGATGTCCTGTATGTGCGTGAGTGTGCGACAGGTGTAGAAACTAAGCAAGGGTGGAGGTCAAAGGTCATGGGCAGCCAAAAACTACCCAAAGATGGAAATTGAGGATCCCTAGGGTGCCAGTTGTGTGGCCAGTGAAGGGTCAGCATAGTGGTGAGGGCTCTCTGTGTGCCAGGCACTGTTCTAGGCTCTGGGAGCAGCAGGGAAGTGGCTGATATTTTAGTGAGAGGGTGACAGGCAGGGCTCGGTGGCTCTCTGCAGCCATCTGAACTCTGGGGCTGTTGCTCAGCTCAGGCGACCACGGCTCTGGGTGGTGGCTGAAAGCTACCCAGTGGCCCCTGTCTCCCTGCAGGGCCCAGGATGTGGTCTAGAGGGAGACGGTGCCCTGGGACTGGCAGGGTGGGAACAGAGGGACAGACTTCAACCCCGGGAGCTTGTGCCAGGGGCTGGGTATGCTCTCGCTGTGGGACAGCTCTGGTGTTTCGGTCGGGAGGGGCTCTTGGAAATTTTTAGCTTCTCAGAAAGCATGCCTCCGAAAGATGTGGAAGGCATCTGATCTCTGGCAAGTGTCACCCTGTGGCCGGCCTCCAGCTGGCAAGGGGAAGGGTGGGGACAAAGGGGCTGGTGCTCGGATGATCGCCGCCGGCAGGAAGAGAAAGCTGCTCTTTCTTTGCTGAGGCCTGCCGTTTCTCGTATTGACTCTGTCCCCCTCCCGTCTGCCCCCTGCCACACTGGGGAGCGCTGGCAGGAGGGTCCGGATGGCTTTGGGGTCTGTGGGGTGGCCCCAAGGGTGAGAGGATAAACAGTAGCCGTGGCCAACGTGCACTGAGAGTCCCTTGCCCCAGGCTCTATGAGCCTAACCATTTGGTCACCACAGAAGAACCCTAGACAGCCAGTAGGGGCAGAGTGACCCTCTCAGGGTACCCAGTTAGTTAGCAGCAGGGGACCAGGGTGTGGCCCAGGTGGGCTGCAGGCTGCTGGGGTTTCTCAGAGTCACCCAGGAACCTGGTGCAAATGGTCATTCCCGGTCCCTCCATGGATGTGACTGACTGGGATCCTTTGGGGGAGCCAGACCTCATGGGTCAGCAGTCCCCTGGGCAGGCTTAAGTTTGAGACTCGGGCTCACACCCTGCTGAGATCTGGGCCTCTTAGGACTTCTTACTCAGGGGAGGGAGTGGAGGGGCTCTTCTGGGACCGGAGGGGCCTAGGGCAGGCACTTGGGTTACTTCCGCAGCCCACCTGCCTCCTTTCTACAGAGGCAAGGTAGCCGAGCGGTCAGCAAGGGCTGTGGAGCTGGGAGCTCGGGCCTTGCCTCTCATCCCGTCCTGTGTTGGCTCTGCCCATGGAACATTCTGGGGTCTGCCTTCCAAGAGCCTCCCCGCTCCAGGGGACCAGAGCTGCTCAGAGAGGAAGCAGTCTGGCCCTCCTGGTGGACGTGAGGCCTCCACATGAGCATGACCGAGCCCTGGAGAGCAGAGAGGGCCAGGCAGGCTGAGGACTCCCCCAGGGCAGGCTGACCCCTCGTGGAGGGGTGGGTGGGATGGGTTTTCGCAGGAGGCACAATCTTCCCAGATCTAGCAGGTGGCTCCGAGAGTTCAGGCTGCTGCCCAGCCTGGGAAGGGAGCCCTGGGGATTTGCGGGTGGCCTCATATATGGCCTGCCCAGGGCTCCGTGGCTCAGGAGTGGGGATTTGGGGAGGTGAGTGGTTAGGATTAGGGCTGAGCTGGGAGGGGGCAGAAGGTGACATCTTTATGACTCCTCCAGAGCCATCCTCGGGCTTTAGGTGGGGACCCCTGAGAGTGGGGGTGGGGCGTGGCTCACGTGTGCACTGTGTCCCTGGATCCTGTCTCCTTCGCCTCCCACGCTGCCCTGGCCTTTGACTGCTTAGGAAGCCTCAGCCCCATCTCCAGGCAGGGCAGGTAGATGCTTCCAGAAGGAGCATTGCTCCCTCCGGCTCAGCCTGCTTTCCCTCTCCCTGCCCATCTCCGCCCACGGCTCCTCCCCGATGCCCAGCCTTCAGAAGTTCTTGGGTCCATTCCCCTGTGGTCACCAACAGTCATCCCTCCAGTCTGGGGAATGGGTCTGGGGACAGCTATTTCCTGTTCTGAGACCCTCTGTCGTCCACTCTGTCTGGGTGCCTCGTTGCCATGGTCTCCTCCCCTGCACTCGAGCTCCCGTCCTGCCTGAGTCAAGGGCCCACGGCCCCTTCACTGGGCTGGAGAGGGAGCCCTGGACACTGTGGTCAGGAGGTGGGCCTGGGACAGCAGTTCTCCTTCCTGCTGGGGGGCCCCACTTTTCAGGATGCTTTTGTGGGAAGCTCTTCTGTTGGTTTGGGCAGAGGAAGGATGGCTGCAGGGTGACCAGTCCACGGGTGTTTATGGGGACCGCTGCACACCAAGGGTGGTCTCTGGCACAAGAGAGTCTTCAACTGAGTTGGTAAAAATGTTGCTTTGAATCTATTTTGGTTGATGATAGAATAAGAATCACGAGACGATTGTTGGGAAAACAAGGCAGGTCATCCCACCGTGAGATCATTACCCACTCTGGACCCAGGAAGTGCCCCAGATGGCCAGGCAGGGTGGAGTTCAGATCTCCCTACTCGGGTGGACTGGGAGGGCTTCCTGGAGGAGGAAACTCTCTCCAGAGGAAAAGAGGGGAAGTCATCCCACCAGGAAAGACCCAGATGTGGGACCAGGCAAGGAGGGTCCGGGTTTGGTGGAGCTCACTGGAGAAATAGGACCCAGGCAGGTTTCTGTCCCAGGCTACTGTGACTTCATGCAAAGGGCACAAAGTGTGAGCCTGAGATGGGGGTTCAAATCCTGTTGTTCCCTTTAGAGCTGCTGCTTTGGGGACACTCACTGAATTTCTCATCTGGAAAGTGGGCCTAACAGATCACCATGGTCCCTATCTGTCTGGAATCTTGTTGTAAATAAATAGTGCAGGTGAAAATGCCCAGCTGTCAGGAGCAAGACCACTGTACAGTTGTTCCTTGTTGCATTTTGAGGGGACAGTGGCTGTGTGGGTCAGAGGCCAGCACTGGACACCTGGCGAGGGTCCTTGCTGAAGGCCTGTAGAACTGGATGATTCTGATACTAAGAGGATCGACTTCATTTTCCAAATGTTGCCTCCCAAGCCTGGGGATAGCCAGGTCCCTGTTGCAGCCACCAGCCCTGAGGACAGTATGCCTGAGGCCTCACACTGTTCTCTGCCTTTGTCCACAGCCCATCACCACTGAGAGTGCCCTAAAGAATGTAATGGACACAGTAAGTGACAGCAGGCTGGCTGGGTACCACGTGTCAGCCTGGGCAAGACTCAGAGGCTGGGGAGCGCAAGGGGATGTGGCCCAAATTGGACAGATGTGGCTGGGACATCCTGCTGGGGTAGATTTGGTGTTCTTGGGGAAACTGGCAGGATGCTGGTGACCCTGGTGACCTTGAGAGGTGAGCAGGTGGAGGGGGAGGGGGCAGCTGTGAGGAAGGGTTAAAAGCGGGCTTCTGTATTAACTATGTAGAATGTGGGGAAGCTCTTTCCAAACAGAGCTTTCTGACTTAGCAGACAGACAGACACCCTCCGGGCCCAGCGGGAGAGGAAGGGGGGGCTCTGCAGCGGAGAAACTGAGGCGAGCCCCTGAGAGGGGTCTCCTGGCAGTGGCCAGCATGAAACTCCAGGTTTGGATCGGGGGACTTGAGATCAAATCCCGACTGTGCCGAGGTTCTAATTGTGTGCAGGGCATGAGGCAGCATCTCCAGCAGGAGTGTCCTGGGATGGAAATGGGCGGGTTCGGCCAGCTCGAGGGCCCTCGGTGAACAGAAATGGGTTAAAACAGACAACACAAGTTTCCGGGGCCCTTCTGCCAACCCCCTCACCCCTGGCACCTCCAGCAGGGGTGGCTGAGATGCCCTCTCTGACTGCCGTCCTTCTGTCTACAGGGAGAAGGAGCCTCCCGGGGTGGAAATTCACGGAAAAGTCTGGAAGAAGAGGTGAGTGTGGGAGGGAGAGGAGGAAGTGATGGGGCCCTGGCTCCCTGGGGTGATGGGTGGGAGGTGGATGAGGGCTCAGACCTGTCTTGCCATGTGGGTCTGTCTGATCCCCTTTCTAGGGACATGCCTGTGGGCTGGCTAGTGGCGAGCAGTGTGGGAAGGACGAGGCATGGGCAGAGGCACGGCAGGAGGGACCGGGCTGAGCAGAGGGCCTGGCTCCTAGCCTGGCTGGGCGGGAAAGTGGCAGGGCATGGCAGAGTCCCCCGTGGGGCTTGACGGAGAGGAAGCTGGAAGTGGGGCTTGCGGGTCCCCTGGGCTCTTTCTGCTTTGCGTTTTGGTGAGAGGACAGAGGCCAGTTCCCTACATGGAAGGACCCCCGAGAAGGGCGCGGGGCTCTCCAGGAGCCTGCTCTGAGCTGGGTTTATCTCCATGCCCTCAGGGCAGACCCAACCCAGGTGGCTTCTCCTGTCCTCCCTGCCCCCTCTGACAACGGGCCCCAGTGCTGGCCTCCCCAGCCAGCCTCACCGCCCGCTCCGTGGAGGAACAGGGAGTGGTTTTGGCGGTTGGCACAGGGGGAGCTGTTGATGGCACGAGGCCCTATCATCTGACAGCTGCCTGACCCACGGTGGGGAGGGTGCTGGAGGGAGGTGCTGGGGGAGGTGGGGGAGGCAGCTCCTGCAGGCGGCCACACTCCTGCGGTGAGCCCACGGCCACTGCCACGCTGCCTTGGGGCTGCCTGCGTGCCCAGATATACGGAGCGGAGTTATCCAGAGGCTGCACGGGGCCCCCAGGAGGAGCGGCAGCATGCCTCTTAAGTTGGGGGCGAAGGCTATGTTCAAGGTGTGTGTGCGTCCTGCCACTGTGGAGGCGTGTACTGGGGAGGGGCTTCTGTCCAGGTTTGTCATGTTCCTGGGTTGGAGGGTCTGGGGAGATTAATATGTTGTCTTGTGGAGAATGAATTAGCTTTAGGTAGCCAGAGCATATACTATGTGCTCAATAAATGTGAACCATTCTTACGACTGCTAGTTTGATTAGGGAAAAGGGTGGGCTGGGTGTTTCAGATCCTCCTGACTCCCCTCTCTAGAGGCTGACCCTATTTTATAGATGAGGAGACAGAGGCGTGGGCAAGTCTGTGAGTGCCACTCCATCCCTTTGTGAATTGTCACTTGGATCTGGTGTCATCCAAGACTCCTGTCCCTTGGCCAGGGGACAGGGTCATAGCCAGTGAACCAAACCATGAAGCTTGGGCACATTTGGAAGCCTAGAGCTGCTGCCCTCTACTTCGATTCTGGGCCAGACAGAGCCTATAAATGACAGCTGCAGCAAGAGAGAGAGGTTAGACCTCATGAAGAACTGAAGACTGCAAAGTTGTATTTGACCTTGGTGCCTATGGGACCGTTTAGGAAGATGGAAGGCCTTTTATCTTTGTAGGGGAACGTTTTGTTGATCTGGGATGAAGGTGTGTGTGAGTTTGTGTGTTGGGTGGGTCAGGGTGTTGTCTGGTCTGGAGACAGAAGGGCACCATGAGTCTCGCTGGTCTGGTTGAGGGAGTGTGTGGAAGGTGAGCAGCCTTCCACAGGGGGCAGCCCCGAAGATGGCCCGCAGATTGCTGGGGAGGAAGGACGCTTTGCTCCTGACTCCCGTGGCCACCCTTTCTGACCATTGAGGTGGCCCCCTGGCCAGCCGCGGGCTCTGCTGCTGTCCTCGGGTGAGGAGCGCGCCTGGCGGGCTGCTCTGTTAATGCGTCTGTTGTGGAGCTGTCCCCGCCTCTGGCCAGCGGCCCAGGACCAGCACCGGGAATGGCTGCCACCCCACCCCAGAGCTGGTGCTCAGCGCACTGTGTGGACGGTGCGCTGTGTCGCACTTTGTTTTGGAAAAATCCAGGCTAGTGAGCAGGAAGGAGAGAGGAAGGGATGTGGCTGCAGGGGGCTGGCGTGAAAGTGTGGCCACAGCCCCCAGAGGAGTCGCTGGAATGGGGACAGGCCCTGAGGTCGGTGGTCACCAGTCTCGGCTGCCTGGCACGACCCCTCCACCCCCCCTGCTCCTTACAGACCCTCCTCTCAACCCCTGGGGACTCGGGGTCAGGAAACTGTTTTTGTTTTGGTCCCGAGGTGTGGTGTATGGGCTGTGGACCTCAAGGAAGGCTGGGCTTCCCGCCCTGGCTGTGTAGCAGGGAAGAGGCAGCAAATAAAGGGGTCTCCAGGGTCGTTGACCTTGAGTCACCCAGGAGTGTCTGAATGAGATCAGACTCCGCCTGCCGTGAGGACCAAGGCAAAAAAATGTTGACAGTCTGTAGCAGGAAGGATGAGGGATAGATACCAGGAGGAACTTCCTGATCATGAGGAAAATAAGACACTGTCTGGGGAAGGCTGTGGAACCTCCTTTCATGGTGCTCTTTTGGCAAAGGAGAGACTGTTTTGGAGATGAGTGTACGGGAGGGTTCTGTTGGGAGCCTAAGGAGTTGGATCAAAAGTTCTATTATTGGTCTGTGTCTTGGGAGGAGCTAGGAAGAAGTTCAAAGATACGTGAGTTAAGGACTTTGAGATCCCCAGAGAGGAAAAGAATAGGATCCCAGGCAGCGGGGAATTTATTTTCCTTTCTAAAATAAAGTTGGTGACGTCCTCTAGTCGTTTTCCCCAGGGTTCTGAGTGGGGCAGGTGGAGACCCTGTAAGCACCATGCTGAGCCCATTTCACAGGTGTGCCAACAAGACGGAGCAGCCCTTCCCCCGGTGGGCCCCTTAGTGGACAGGTTCACTGTACAGTGTGGGACCTGGGGCCAGGGACCTATCCCTCCACTCCCGAGAGCGTGACCTGCACGGAGCCGGGGCCCCTGACAAGGGAACACCCCGGTGATTCATGGTACCCAGATGCCTGGAGCCCTGGACCTGTCCCCCCCCACCCCCTGGCCTCTGCAGAAGCCTACGTGACTAGGTGTGCTTCAGCCCCTGGCGGGAGGTCCCTTGGGTGTTCTGCCCTCCTCCACTCTCTGAGTTGCTGTGCGCCTCCACCCGACGCGGTGCCCCTGCACGTCTGCTCCCTGCAGCCAGGGTCACGTGCCCCGCGCCCTGCAGAAAACAGGAAGCCCCATGGGTTCGAGGGCAGCCCAGTGATTCATCAGGGGATGACAGTCCAGCTGTTCGTCCCCATCCTCTGCAGTGGGGTCAGTGTCCAGGGCAGCTTCCTGCCGGCCTCCCCGCCCCGCTGCCCGGTGGAGCAAAGCAGGCTTGGACTCTGCCTTATCACCTCTGGAGGCGGCGTGGCCAGACTCTGTTGGGGCCAAGTTTTTATTTATCTTGCCCGGCTTTTTTTGGGGCGGGGAGGCTGAGGAATGTGGAGTGTCGTAAGGTGGGGAAACGGGAGCCAGGTCCCTGGCCCTACTCCCTCTCCTTGCCCCTGCACCTCTGGAGGCTCCAGCCTCCCCGTGGCTCCCAGTTCCCTGGCCAAGCTCGCCTCCGTCCACCCCACCGTCTCCCTCGGGCTCTCTTGGACCCATGTTCTTGGCCACACCTCAGGCCTTGGCTGAGTTGTGGCTTCCAGTTGTTCGAAGCAGCTGTGGTGGCTTCCTCCAAAAGTGGTTGTGGATCAGCAGCAGATGAAACCCAAGGGGTTATTTATAGCAGGGTGGCCCGGGGACCTGGAGCCAGGCCCGGGCCTGGGGAGAGTCAGGGACTCCTCATCAGGGACCAGTGAAATGAGATGGATGAAGTGTTGGATTTCTGCGCTCCTCTGGGTGGGTAGGTTTGGAACAGACTGGTTTGGGGCTTGAGAACCAAACAGCCCTGGACCCCCCACCCCCTGGCCTGACTCATGCAAACCCGAGTCCTGGGGCCAGGAGAGCCGCGGAGGCTGAGGAACTCTCCGCTCAGCAGCCCCACTTGGCTCTTCAGTCCTTGCGCTGTGGTAGCTGCTGAGCCGCTGGGATCCAGAGCAGCCCAGGCAGGCACTCTGGGCACCACCTTCTCCCGCCTGCCTGGGGCAGCTGGTGAAGAGCCCTCCTCTCCGCAAGCTGCCCTAACTTTAGGCTCAGCCGAGAGCTGGGCCTCAGGCCCACTGCCCACCTCGCAGGCACTGCAGGGCCGGCAGAGGGTGAAGGGGCTCCTCGGTCAGGTCCCAGGTCGGAGACTGAATCCTGCTTGGCCATCAGCTTCCCAGGGACTAGGGGGTGAGTCACTCTGCTCTTCACGTCTCCCTCCTTGGCAGACTGTGGTCCTGTCTTCTCCAAGAGCTGGCTGCTAGTGGGTGGTCAGGGAGGGTGGGTTTGGGGGAGGCATGTGGGTACCATGACACTTGGAGGGCTTGAGCCACCTCGACACTGGGTGTCCTGATTCTGCATCTTGTGAGGTGGTTGTAAGGGTAGAGGATGCTGGGAGTAGGGGATGCAGGGTTTGGATTTTTTATAGGGGGAACTGTCCCAACTGCCCTTCCAGCAACTTCCCTTTTAGTTGCGCTTGATTCAGTGGCAGTAACGGGAGCACCAGCTGTCATCTGCTGATGCCAGGCATAAGGAAAGGGCGTTGCATGCACGATTCCTTTGCATCCCCACGCGAGTCTGGAGGGCTGTGCCATCTTACGCGTGACATTTCACAAGGCTCAGGGGGTTAAGTCACCCTCAAGTTTGCCCAGTAGGGTGCTGGACCAGAGCCTGGGGTCTTGAGGGGCTCTGGTGCTGTGCTCTCAGGGGTGCTGACCCTCTGCTGCCCTGGAAGGTTTGGGGCACCAACTTGGGTCCGTTTGCCTAATCGTGTGCAGTGAGCCACCCAGGAATGGAGTGGGGAGCGGGGGTCATAGTCACTGCATTCTTAGGAGTGTGGCTCAGTGCCGTGGTCCTTGGCTCTGTTCGAATGTGACATGCCTGGCTGTTCTGTCTCAAGACTCTTGGCTGAATGACGGGATGTGGCTGCTTTCAAGGAGGGGAGGGTGTGTGGGATGACAGTGTCAGAGAAGACACGTCCAGAGCTGGACGGGGCACCTCGCCCTCCTCCTCCAGATGCTTTTGGGGTAGTCTGTATTCTTAGGGTCCTACTGCAAGGGTCCGGGAGGTCAGTGGAAAGTGTGTGTCTGTCCCAGTTAATGGAATTTTTGTGTCCCCAGTGCAGGTGGCACCAGCCTGGGAGGGGTGTATTTCTCAACATTGGGGACTTCTTCCTTCTGTCCCTTTGGGGCTCGCCCATGGGCAGGCGGGCTCACGTGGGATTGGCACTGACTGTTTTTGGCTTCATGTTGCTGGGTTGCTGAGGCGTTGGGGTGGCAGGGCTGGAATGTTGGCAGAGAAAGGAGAAGAGGCTGTGTGCTTGGCCGCTGCCCTGTCTGCTCCCGCTCACGGCTCTCGGCTGCTCCCCTCCTGCATCCTGCCTGCCCCCCGTAATGCTGCGTCTCTTCTCTCTTTCCCAGGGCTCCACTAGAGTCACCCCGAGTATCCAGCCCCATCTGCAGCCTGTCAGGTATGCCTGGCCCACCGGGGAAGGGGCAGGGGTGCAGGCAGTGGGGTCACTGTGGGTGTTCTTTATAAGTCTTACCCTTGGGTCCCCAAGACTGAAGTCACAAAGTGAAGGATGGGTAGATGGCCTTGGCCGCCATCACTTTTCGTGTTCCAGGGCTAAGCCAGACCTTGAGCTCATTCTTTATTTACCTGCATGAGCTCATCGAGGCCTTGCACCAGCCCTGCAAGGTACCCGCGTTGGCAGATGAAGAACGGAGTTTCAGAGGGAAAAGTTGACTTCTTAAAGGTCACACAGCCATCCAGAAGCAGGAGTGGGGACCTCTGGCCTCGAGGCCTGTGCTAGATCTCCTTGTCCACGGATGGGGTTTCCGATGGTGGGGAGGTTTATAAAAGGGGTCTGTGTGTGTGTGAGGGGTCCTCAGGGGGGGCCGTGCCTCACCCATCCAGACTGATATATCTGCGTCCATATTCTCTGGCTTGGGTCCCCACCTTCTCTGCCTCACCTTCACCCCCTGAAGCTTTTGGGATTAGTGAGAATGGCAGCTTTGGCGGGGGGCTTAATCCCCTGGAGGCTGTGACTCAGCTGCCCACCGGTGGAAGTGGGTTTTTAGAGGACCCTGTCTTTCCCCTGTGGCTGTAAACAACTGACTTGGGGCAGCCTGGGTGTGATTCTGAGTTTGCCCAGATGGTGGCGCTGTTCTGCCTTCGCATCCTTCCTGGGAAGGACCCCGAGCGCCAGGCAGGTCAGTGCCCAGGATGGGCTGCACCTGACTGTTGCCGATGGCGACAGCGTCCCCCTTCCTTCCCCTGCTGTGCTGAAGGAGAAGCTGGAAAGAGGAGCTGACCTTCAGTGTTTGTCTGACAGTGCAGTCCCTTCCCTGGAGCCAGGACAGAGGGGCTTTGGAGGGTGGGGAGGAAAGTGGACCAGGCTTCCTGCTTTCATATCCCTTTTGGGGGGTGTAAGTGCTTGTGACTTCTTGTCCCAGGCTGTCCTTGGGTCAGCATTGTCCTGGGGTCTGAGCCCCACACCAGTGGCTGCTGGGAGAAGCTTATCATGGGAACAAGGAGTGGCGGGGGCTCAGAGGTCCAACTCACACTGGGCTCCTTTCCCCTGACCTCTGTTCCATCTACCACTCAGTCCCCTCTCTGTCATCCCACCAGGGAGAGGCCATTGTCATCCTTGACAGGCCCCTTTCCATCCCCATTTAAGCACCTGGGACCTGATCAACCCTAATGGAGATCTGGATTCTTCTAGGCTCCTTGATGTCCTGGGGCTTGTATTCCCCAGTGCCAGAGTCCCCATCCCTTTAAAATACCCTGGCCAGTGCCGTGGTATCCTGCTGTGGTGGAAGGTGAACCAAATGGAATCCAAGTGTTGCCGACCTCGGGTAGAGAGGACAGTGACACCAGAGGTGACAAGGTGCAGCGTGGGAGGGTGCGGCTGCCTCCCCAGGCCAGAGGGGGCTTCCCCAGTGCATCCTGGACCCTTCCCCTGGAGGAAAATCCTGGAGAGGTGTCAAGATACGAGTCCCCTGCTCCCCTTACCCGGTGCCCAGGGGAGGGCCAGCTGCCCAGCCCTGGGGTCTCCCCACCTCTTCTGAGAACCCCCCACCACAACAGCACCAAAGACTCTGCACTCCCTTCATTTCCTGGATCCTTAGAAACAGGGAGTCCACAGCGGAGAAGCAGCTCTGGCAGGTGATAGCAGAGCCAGAGGCGGGGGGAGCCAGGGAAAGGAGGACAGGAGCCTGCCTCCCAGGGCTGGAATGTGCACTGTGGTCTGGCTCACCTGGAGCCTCGGGGAGCATATCACCTGAGCTTCCCTTCTCTTGGGAGGCCTCCCGGCCCCTCCAGAGCTCCAGCAGAGAAGACAGCCGTCCGGGGTGCTGGGGTGCTGGGGACCACCCGGCCCAGCTCTCTGTCCTTTCACAGGTTGAGTCACAGGTTGATGGGGACCTGGAATTGGGGTCCTCGTCATTTGGTTGTGACACGGTCTGAGGTCCTCGCCAGCCCCTGCCCAGCTGTCTGTCTGGTGCTCAGGCTGGCTGCATAGGCTTTGCCACGGGAAGCCTCTGGCCTTGGCCCTGGGCTGGGGATCAGCATGCTCCGCGGCCTGGATGTGGGGAACCCCACGAGGTGTCGGGGTACAACTACCTGGTGCTTGTATCGGGAGATTCTGATGTGGACCCCCATCTTCCCACAGTCCCCCTAGAAACCTGAGTGTGAGCCGGACCATGGAGGACAGCTGTGAGCTGGACCTGGTGTACGTCACAGAGAGGATCATTGCTGTGTCCTTCCCCAGCACAGCCAATGAGGAGAACTTCCGGAACAACCTCCGGGAGGTGGCCCAGATGCTCAAGTCCAAACATGGAGGCAGCTACCTGGTGAGGACAGGGCACCCTTGATCTGGTGCCCCTCTGCCCTTTCATCTGCGGGCGGCCTCTTCACTCCTGGAGTCTCTGTCCCCCGGTCCTTGGCCGGTGTGTCCTCTTTCCTTTAGCTCTGGAATCTCATGTGGCCTGAGTTGTCACTCCCTTTCCTGCCTGAGTCCATTCTGAGGAGCGTACCTGCAGCCAGAGTGTCGCACTGGGAAGTGTGTGTGTGTGTGTGTGTGTGTGTGTGTGTGTGTGGACCAGAAGAGAATAACAACCCTAGTTCATGTCCTTAAGCACTTGCTATAAGCCAGGCCCTGTTCAGCCCTGGAAAGGGGACCCTTGCTGGAGCAGAGGTGAGGTATTTGCCTCAGGCCACGGGGTCAGTGGCAGACCCAGTTCAGCATCTGTGCTTCTGAGAAGTCTTTGGGCAGAGTCGGGGTTACATGTGTCTTTGGAGACCTGGTGGCTGGCTCAGAAGACACCTGACGTGGGTGGGTGGCTGGTGAAGGTCCCCTCTAAAGCAGGAAGGCTGACCTGGCCCTGGCTCCAGGTCGGTGTTGCAAGGGGGTGCATGTGAGCTGGACCCACAGGCCACATGTCCCCTTGAAGGGGTGCTGCAGGGGAGCAGAGGTGGGCAGGAGGAGGCCATGAGGGTCCCAGGGTTGGGTAATGGACGACCACAAACTGCATGGATTCAAACGACAGAAGCTTATTGCCTCTCGGTTCTGGAGGCCAGCAGCAGAAATCGGGGCGTCCTCGGGCCATGCTCCCTCTGAATCCCCGAGGGAAAGTCCTTCCTTGCCCCTTTGCAGCTTCTGGTGCTCCCAGCACTGGCTGGCTCCCCTTGGCTGGGTGCATCTCTCGGTTCTCTGCCCCCTTCACATGGCTCTATTCCCTGTCTCTGTGCGTCTTCCTCAGACTGTGAAGACATTAGTCATCGGGTTTAGTGCCCAGCCTAAATCCAGGATGTCTGTTATCAAGATCCTCAACTACTTACAAAGGACCTATTTCCAAATAAGGTCACATTCTGAAGTTCTGAGTGGGTGTGAATTTGGGGGGCACTGTTCAACCCACTGTAGAAGCTCGTCCACCTGCTGTATTGGGGCATTGTTAAGAGCCGGGCTTTAAACGTCCAAAAGCCAGGGTTCCAATTCTGGCTCTGTGCTCACTGTTTCTATGATCTGCCTCAGGCTTCCCCTCTGTAGAATGGGCCTAGTAACACTCTCCTTTTTAGGGCTATTGGGAGAGATAGGTAGGGTTGGCAGAGGGCGAGTGCTCATTGAGTGGCAGCCATGGTTAATATAACAAGGTGTGTTTCTTTATGGGGTGCAGGAGTGGACGAGAGCCGCCTGAGACCCTTCCTTACTTTAGGAGTCCAGGATTCCGTGTCACCTCTGTGCTCTGTCCTGGCTCCCTCCCTCCTGCTGGGTGTAGGTTCTGCTCTCCCAGGAGGTGACAGTGGTTTCCCCAGCTGTGGGCTGGAGGTGGGCAGCTCTGCCCACCCCTTAGGGGGTGGAGAGAGGACTGCCAGAGACTGGGGGTTCCACAGGGTGCAGTCAGGCATGGAAGGGCCTGTGCTGGGAGGGGTGCGTCCCTGGTGTCTGGTGAGGAGACGTTGCATTGTCTCAGGGGGAGGCTCGGAGTCAGCATGTGATGCGGAAACCAGAGACGGCCACCAGCTGTCCTTCAGAACCCCGGGCTCCCTTCCACCTTTCCCTTCCTCTGGTCAGGATGTCCGCGCGGAAGGGCATGCCTGGGGCCTGCATCTCTCTTTCCCCTTTTCCCTGAGGACCTCATTTGAGCTCTTGTTGGTCAGTGCGTGTCCATGGGTGCATCCAGTCTCCATCCGGGGATTGAAGATTCGAGGCAGCACAGGTGGTCCAGGGAGCCCCTGGCCCCGAGAGCTCAGCGGGCTCTTGAGAGGAGTGGTAATGACACCACCCTTCCCATGTGACCGGGGCTTCCTGGCACCCTCTGCTCTTCACTCATGGTCACTTTCTCTGTCTCCTCCTAGCTGTTCAATCTCTCTGAGCGAAGACCTGACATCACAAAGCTCCATTCCAAGGTGAGCTGACGGCCGTTTTGGGGTGACTTTCCTCCTGGGAGAGGAGAAGAGACCCCCTTCCGTGGTTCCTTCATTGGAATCTTGGGGGAAAGCACCAACTGACAGTTGGAAAAAACTACTTAAAGTCCAAGTGCCATCTTAGATCTGGAAAAGGACAGTAACACATTGATTAATTCCATAATGTAAACTGCGTGGGGCAGAGCTCGGTGCAGTGGCGTCCTACCCGGGTCCGCCCCCCGGGAGCCCGCGAGGCCTCTGGAGGGGGTGGAATTGTGAGATTTCATGCGGTTGGGCATGGCAGCTTTGATGTTCCTGCCACAGTGACTACTTGGTCTGCTCCGTGGGTTGTGCGGGGCTTTGCCACGAATGTCTGCTCCCATCCTGGATTCTGGGGCCTGTTGCTGTGTGATCTTGGGCTGGTGGCAGACTTCCCTGAGATTGCACCCCTGAGAGTGGGTGGTCTGGGTTAGGTGTGCTCCAGGGGACCCTCCAGGCTCTCGTTTACTTTAAGTCTGTGAGTTTGGAAAAGTTCTGAGGAGCCAGAAGACCTTCAGACGGCTTTCGACTGGCTCCCAAAGTGGGTGGCCCGACTGTCCAGGGCCTGGAGGAGAGCGGTGAAGCCACAGAGCCCTTTGCCTTTCCTCTCCTGTCCTGCTCCAGGCCTCGGGGCCATGGGTGGCAGGGGAGCTTGAGGGCCATGCTCGTAGCTCCTCTGAATGTTTGAGCTCACTCACGAGCTGCAGACCTCAGGGTCCTTGGCTCCAAGCCTTTGCTTGGCACATAGATGAGGAAACTGAGGCTGGGAGGGGGACATGGCTCGCCTTAGACCCCCACAGTGAGTCTGGGCTGGAGCTGAGACTTGGGCCTGGGGGCTCCTTCCTGGCCCATGACCTTGACCTCCACACCTTGCCTCCCAGCAAGGCTGACAAGCAGGGAGGGACTGTTGGGCTGCTGGGACCACCTGGTACTGGTGGTTGGTGCGCAGTGCCCCGGTGGCCGGGTTGACTCCTGGGCGTCCTCTTCTCTCTCCTGGCTCTGGCCTCAGGTACTGGAATTTGGCTGGCCTGACCTACATACCCCGGCCCTCGAGAAGATCTGCAGCATCTGCAAGGCCATGGACACCTGGCTCAACTCAGACCCGCACAACGTCGTCGTTCTACACAACAAGGTGGGGTGTTGTTGTGGAGGGGGCTGTGCATGCGTGAGCACAAACTGAATGGACTTGGAGGAGTGTGCGAACCTGCCTGTCTTGGATTGCATGAGCACCCAAGTCCATCAATGAGTTTTTACCATTCTAGGGGACAACAGATTCTGTCCCAGGGGTCACCTCCAAGAAGCAGGGCATACCAGCTTAGGTCTTCGGCTATTTTTGGAGACTCGCTCCCCCTTGCCTCCCTCCCCGGAGTCTCCTTCCTCCTGCTCTCTCCTGGAGCCGCGCCCCTCTCTCCAGCCCTTGCTCCCTTCCCTCCTAGGTTTCTGGACAGGCTCTGGGGCGGCAGGGCCGGCCTTAGACATAAAGCCTTCTTCCTCTTCCAGGGAAACCAAGGCAGGATAGGGGTGGTCATCGCAGCTTACATGCACTACAGCAACATTTCTGCCAGGTAAGGGTGCCCGGAGCCTCCCGCCCTCTAACCATCAGCAATAGGACACCCCTCTTCCCACCCACCCATGGTTCCTGCCTTCCCTGGGCTGGGAGGATCTGTTAGAGGGCATGAGAGGTAACCAGGGAGCGTGGGAGACTCAGAACAGGAGATGGTGTGTGCCAGGGCCCTGAGGCAGAAGCCTGTGCACAGAGCTCAGGAGACAGGGGTATTCACCCATCTGGAGCCCTGGTGGGGCCACAGTGGGGGCAACCTCAGTCATGAACACCCCATCTAGCCAGCTTTTGGGGGCCACTTGTCCTTACCCAATTGCCTTCTGATTCCCTGGAAGAGCAGGTAGAAACACTGGATCAGATCAGAACCTGGTGGAATCCTCTAGAAGTTATGTCATCCACCCCTCTGCCTGTGGCCAGCAGGGCCCTGTTCCCACTGGGAGTTTTAGAGCAAGAATAGGAAACAGACAGTGGATGATTCCGGTTCTGGTTCCGTTCTGCAGGAGGCCAAAGATTCATCCACTTCCTCATTTATGTCAGCCACGACTGTTGAGCAACCCTTCTGCCTTGCACCATAGTAGGGAAGACTCTGGTGGCGGTGACTGAGAAAGAATAGAGACAGGGAAAGACAGCGAGGGAGGGGTGCGTGGTCAGGGAGGGCCTGGGGGACAGGCAACCTGGTGCAGACACCCCACGCAGGGCTGAGTCCCGTGAAGTCTGGGGAGGGTCTCGCAGGCCGAGTGCAGGGGCAGGACCCAGCCCATGGGGGGGGGGTGCAGGAGGCTGGGGCCTTGGAGCCAGGGAAGGTGGGTGGGGGGAGCTGGAAGGACAGAGCCATTTGGCCTTGAGGGCCTTGCTGAGGACCTTGGAAGAAGTCACAGGAGAGTCAAGAGCAGAGAAGCTGCGTGATCTGTCTTTTCATTTCAAAATGTTCTCTCTGAGCACTGTGAGGGTGAACCTCTGGCAGAGGGCTAGTTTGATGACCTGGGAAGTCCAACCCAGCGGCATCTTCTTAGTGACAAACATGCCCCGTGTGCCTCTGTGTGTTCACATGTGCACCTTTTTGGGTGTCATCTCGCTTAAGCTCCATAAAGCTTTTGAGGAAGGTGCAATGATCAGCCTCACTGGACAGGTGAGAGAGATGAGGTCGAGAAGGGCACACGGGGTCAGTAATGGGGGACTTGGTGTGGCTCCCAGGCCCCCTGGCTCTGAAGTCCCGGGCTGAGCACTGCACCTCACAGGTTGGACAGATGCTGGAGCACTCTTCTCCTGAAAGCTTCTCAGCCCAGCAAGCCTGTTCCTCCTGCTGGGCACCAGGACTGCTGGTGGGCTCTGCAGCTCTAGGAAGCAAGAATCGGGAGACAAGGGGCCCTGGGGTGTGGGGGTTGGCTTGTCTGACCACTGTCTCTCCCCACAGTGCTGACCAAGCTCTGGATCGGTTTGCAATGAAGCGGTTCTATGAGGATAAGATCATACCCATTGGGCAGCCATCTCAGAGAAGGTGGGTCTCCAGGTCCTGTGTGTGTGTGTGTGTGTGTGCGCACTTCCTCTCCCTGGGGAGTCTTGTATACTCACAGGGGGTGGAGCGGCTGCTTAGGGAGAGGTGTGTCCAGCACATGTGCTCAGTCTGGAGAGGACACAGGTGAGCCCATGGGCAGGCTGAGTGTGCCCACAGGTTGGCATGGCAGTTGGTTCCTGAGGCCTGGGTCAGAGCGCAGACCGTCCCAGGAGGGCATCAGTCTGGGGATAGAAGGTGCCTCTTTAAGAAGGCACGTGCTGTCCTGGCCCTGGTGGCTGGATTGCTTCAGCGTGTGGATGAGTCTCCAGGAAGCTGATGTCACTGCCACCATCATGGAAGGTCACAGAGACTCAAGATAAGAGTCACCTTCTACTGGGAGAGTTTAAAATATTTCTTGGGGGGCCCGGAACCACATGGGCATGTTGGAGTCTCCTAAGAGCCCACGCAGACGCAGGATGGGGATGGATTGATTCATTCATTTGGCAAAAGTCGAGGTTCTCTACTACAACCCCACACACTGGGACATCTAGGTGAACAGGACACAGTCCCTTCCCTTAGTGAGCTGGTGGTCGGTTGAGAGAGATGGACTTTAAACATGTGACCCTGCATACAGGACAATGCCATATAGCAGTGAGTCCTCAAAGGGAAGAGAATGGATCACTGCAGAGACCCAGGGCTGGTGGCAGGGGAATGGGGCTGTTCTAATGGGGACAGCTTGGAGGACCTCTCAGAGGAGACAATTTCGTACGCTGAGATAATGCTTAGCTACCAAATGAAGATCTAGGCATTGTCCTTTGACAGATGAGAAGCCTGAGCCCAGGGAGGGGACATGGCCAGGAGAGAGGCCAGGCAGAGCTGGACGGTACGTGGAGGACTAGAAATAACCAGGTGGGACTCTGGGTGTGCTGCCCACTGTCCTGAGGGATTCTGCTGTGTGGACAGCATGTTCAGTGATGCCTGGTCCATAGGAGGAGATGGGCAATGTCAAGGCCAGGTGGACATTGGGGAGGCTACAGGCAAGATGGTGGGTTAACGCAAGCCCAAACTGTTAGCCTAGAGCACAGGACTCAGGCCCCTTGGCTATGTGGCCAGGACTGGTGGGCCTGCCACCCGCCTGTGACGTGTCAGCACTGTCCTACTCACTGAGGATACAGTGCTAATTTGTCAAGCAAGGACATGGAGCTGAGCTTCTAGGGGATGACACCCAATTTCCCAAACAAAAGGTCATTTTGGACAGTGACAAGTGGCTTTGAAACAACAAACAAAGGTGGAGGGCGAGGGGGCAGATTCCAATGGACAGGCCTCCCGAGGAGGTGACAGGAGGTAGGATCTGAGAGGGAGAGGGACCCACCCAGTGAAGGTCCCGGGGAAAGGATCCAGGCAGAGGTGCAGCAAGGTCAAAGGCCTGGACCTCCCCAGCCTCTTCCTGCAGAGGGTCCCCAGTATGTGTCCCACCACCCTCACCTCGCTTGGCTGGCCTGAAGCTGGCTGCCACGGACTGTTCCTGCCATCACGGCAGGAAGCCCAAGCAGAAGCAAGTGTGTCCTCAGGCAACCCAGTTGTCACAGAACAGCTGAAGGCCAACCTCTGGGTCAGCAGTCAGAGATGGGCGTCTTTCTGGGCAGACAGTCCTGGCTAGGCCTCCAGACGGGGCAGCCATGGGTCAGTGAGAACCTTCCCAGAAAGGGGAGCGCTGGTGGTCAAGGACCAGTTCCCTGGTCCCTGGTGGCCATGCATAGCTGCTGCTGGTCCTGGTCCTGGTATGGCCCTTGACCTTGAAGGATGAGAGCTACTAATGGAGAAGCTTGCTGACCTGATTCTTGGAGGTGGTGGAGCAGCAGAGGCCTGAGATGGAGAGGCACTGTTGTTACCGCTCAGCAAAGGGGTTGTCCGGGTGTTCCCCTGTGTTCGTGCACGGGGCCGCGGGGCGTGTCTGTATGTGCACACTATCTGTGGCTGCCCGGCAGCTCCTATCTGCCCCTGCATCTGCCGAGGGCCGGGCCTCTATCTGCCCACACGTGGAGTGCAGTTGCTGGTTGCCCATGCGTCTGCTGCTGCTTTCCCGCCATGTTGCTGGTGCGGCTTGCAGGGAATCTGGCAGCTGGAGGAGAGGAGAGCGGGAGGGGCAGGGGGAGGGGCTGTGCCTGTAGCTCCTCCATTTATTGTCACGGGCCCCCCCCTGCTCATTGTCCCCAGCACACAGACACATCCTGTTGGCACGATTGGGAGATCTGATGGGAACCGCCATTCTGGGTTTCCGGTTTGAATAATGGGACTGGGGGCTGGGCAGGGGCCTGAATAGGAGCTGGTGCTGCCCATCAGATTATCTTGCTTGGGTAGTCCAAGGTGGCCCCACCCAGCCTCAGGGACAGAGGCCCACTGGTCTGGAGGTGGGCCAAGGAGCCAAGAGACAGGCGGGGAGCATTGTCATGGTCAAGCAGTTCCTGTCCCACCCCCCAAAGCCCTGTTGGCTCCTGCAGAGCTTCAGGATGTATTTGGTTGGTCTCCCTGACTCAGCCTGGCACCCTCTGGCCAGTCAGAAAGAGAGGAAGTGCTGACCCATCAATGGTTAGTTCTGCCCCCAGTTCAGACGGTGCACTGAAGCCCAGGCTGCTTCCCCTCTTCCTCCCACCCCCAGCGCTGTGTGTTCTTGCTGTGTGTCTCCAACAACCCTTTCTGGGCCTGCTTTCCCCTCACGGTTTAGAAGAAGGGGAGGTGGGCTAGTTTATTCCATTCTTCCAACAACATCTTTATTTTAAAAATTGGGGGATGCTGACCCTAGAGAGAGGGATACTTATTCACGTTAGTTATCACAAATATCAAGTAAAGTGACAGAAACTGATGGGCTCCATACACTTTAGTGACATAAAGTGAAGGACTGTCATGGTTAAGCTCTTGCTATTTGCTGGACTCACGTGGATGGTGGGGCCTAATGGGAAGCTTGGTATCAGGGTCCACATTGGCCTGGTTTGGCTCCATGTGAGCTGTTAGAGCTGCTTGCTGCCTGGGCAGCCTGCATTGTGCAGGAGGGAGCTGCTAAAGGATGAGGTGCCTGTCACTGTCAGGGGTCAGGGAGGAATTTTTGTCCCCAGGAAGTTCCTGGGCAGCAAGGGAAGCAGGAAAGAGATGCTCACGTTCACCACCAGGGGGCGCAGGAGAACGCCAAGTGGGCTGTTAGCCCCGATCCACTTGGGATCCTTTACCTGCTGTTTTCCCTGTGGGGCTCCGAGCGGCCAGCTAGGCCTGCCCTGGGGCCCAGCCCTCAGCTGCCAGGAGCTCTGGGTGGGGGCCAGAGTTGTGGGGTGCTGAGTAAGAGGGAGGTGGGAGCCACGTTCTTGCAGATGGAAAACCAGGTCCCTCTCCCTGAAGTCACCTCTCCCTGCCCCAGGTATGTGCATTACTTCAGCGGCCTGCTCTCTGGCTCCATCAAAATGAACAACAAGCCCTTGTTTCTGCACCATGTGATCATGCACGGCATCCCCAACTTTGAGTCCAAAGGAGGTACCTGCCCCGAGCCCTCCCTGGGGCCTCCCTTCCCCTCCTCCCTCCTGCCTTGGGTCTTCAGAGGCAGCCTTGGGGCGGGAGGAAGCAAGTCAGCAGCAGAGTCCTAAGGCTTCCACTGGAGCCTCACCTGCATCACTTCCTGAATCTTTTTGAGCTCCAGTCTATTTATCTGCAAAACGAGCTTGGTATTTGCAGTCCCTTCTGGCAGGTGATGTTGGCGGTGGCAATGTCTTGTCCACTTAAAATGCCTTATGAATAAAAGTTAGTATTTCTTCTCCTTTCTGCTTGCTTTTTTTCTCTGTCCTCATACCCCCCTTCCTTTCTTCCTTCCTTTCTCGCCTTGTTTTCTCCTCCGCCTGCTGTTCCTAACACCACCTTCTCTGACAGGGTGTCGGCCTTTTCTCCGCATCTACCAGGCCATGCAACCTGTGTACACGTCTGGCATCTAGTAAGTATTCTATGGGAGGCCAGGGAGGGCCACGGCCCAAGGCCGGGCACAGGGAAGGTGGGAGGGAGGCTGCCTCGACTTCTCGAGAGCAGCGGGGAAGGGAGGCAGTCAGGGAGGCCCGCGCAGGCCTGGGCAGAGGGGCAGAGGGAGAGCAGCGGCACGCTCTTCCTCTGCCACCCTCTGTGCCTTAGCAACATCCCGGGGGACAGCCAGACGAGCATCTGCATCACCATTGAGCCAGGACTGCTCCTGAAGGGAGACATCTTGGTGAGTGCCGCCCTCCGTCTCAAGCCCACCCTTTTCCCTTTCCGGCTCCCTCCTACCCTAGGGACAGGACAGCCACTCCCGGTGGGCTCAGGACTTGGAACTGAAGGCTCCCAGGGTTCCTTCAAGACCTTCCGGTCTCAGACAGCCCTGGCCTGGTCCCTTCCCTGCCCTGGTGTCCCTTCCCTGGGCCGACCTTTTGTCCTGGGACATCTCCAGGGAAACCCAGTCAGTGTGAGCTGATACCACCTAGCTCCCTCCTGGTGACAAGGACCCCCTCCATTCTAACTTCAGCCGCTCTGGGGCACTTCAAACCTGCTTTTCCTTTTGGGATTCCAATCTGTCTGTGGGAACTTCTTGGCAGGACAGTTTTGTTCCTACAAGTCTCTCAGGTGTTCTAGAATCTTCCCCAGAGAGTTCTAAGTTCCTGTTTGGTGTTGGTGACTGCTCTTTCCTGGGTTTGCGGTGCCCCTTTGGGCTCCATCTGTGGAGCAGACCAGGAGGCTCCCTGAGACCCCACCTCCCACCTCTGTCTCTCCCCACCCCCAGCTGAAGTGCTACCACAAGAAGTTCCGGAGCCCCGCCCGAGATGTCATCTTCCGCGTGCAGTTCCATACCTGTGCCATCCATGACCTGGGGGTTGTCTTTGGGAAGGAGGACCTCGATGAGGCCTTCAAAGGTGGGCCCCAGGGTGGGGCTGGGGTGGGGCTCGTGGCAGGGAGGAGAGCTCAGGTTCAGGAGATGTGGTGGGCATGGGGGCCACCATTTTTGAGCCACATGGTCTGCCAGGATCTTCTTGGTGACAGTGGGAGGGCATTGAGAGAGAATTAGGAGCCAACCAAGGCAAGTGGCTAGGACTCAAGTGGAGGAGGTTCCTCCTCAGTCCCTGGCCTGTTTTGTATCTCATACTCTCCGAGGACTTGGCTCATGTCTTCTTTGCCTGGTCCTCCCGGTTGGTCTTATTGGCAGACATTTTTTCAACCTTGGCTGGGCATCTGTACCAGGCTCAGTACTAAGTGCCGGGGAATCAGAGTCAAACACAACATGCTCTCTGTTGGTGGAGCTAAAAGTCTAGGGGAGGCAGCTCTAGAAGGGACAGTTACCCCCCGGGGCAGAGGAGCCGTAGTGGAAGGGCTGTGGCGACAGGAGGCAGGAGGAGTGGGCAGGGAAGGTTTGGTGTCTTTTGCTGCTTTCTTCTGTGCACCTGAGGTCCCATCTATATCACGCTCAGGCCTGGGCTTATAGATACAGCACCCATCCATCCTCCATCCCTCCAGCCATCTGCATATTCATTTATCCAACTGTTCATATACCCATCCACCTATCCATTCATCTACCCACCACTTGCCCACTCATCCATCCATCCATCCACGCACCCACTCACCTATTCATCTATCCATCCATCCACGCACCCACTCACCTATTCATCTATCCATCCATCCACGCACCCACTCACCTATTCATCTATCCATCCATCCACGCACCCACTCACCTATTCATCTATCCATCCATCCACGCACCCACTCACCTATTCATCTATCTATCCATCTCTCTAACCACCTACCTGCCTACCATTCATCCACCCATCCATCCATCTACCCATCCATCCACCCGACCACCCATCCCCACCCACCTGCCCGCCCACGAAGTCTAAATGACAGGTGTGTGCTAGACGCTAGGGATTCAAAGAGAAGTCAGGCCTCTGGGAGCTCACAGTCTCCTGGGAGAGAGACATGCAAACCTGACTCTATGAAGTGAGGCCTGCAGGAATGGACACAGGCGCTGGCCTGGTGGGGTCCCACAGAGCAGATATCGTCCTTGCTATGTCCTCTTCCTGCAAGCAGTAGACAGTGATCAGCATCCAGACTGCGCTCAGGCAGAGAGCAGAGGGAGACTGGGCCGCCCAGAAGGGGCAGGTCCCCTCAGTAAAGTCTGCTCATTCAGGGCAGGGATGGCTCTGAGATGAGTTCTCCTTGTATCTGAGCCGGGAGGGCAAAACCAGATGGTGCTCTAATAATTACAGAGCAGACAGTCACTGCCATCAGTCTTGAGGAGGGAAAATAAAGATACTGCTGATAAAATAAATATGAGGTTGGGGAGAAGCAGAGCAAAGGAGGTTCCCAGATCAAGAAGTAGAGGCTGAACTATAATATATATAGCTTCAAAGGTAATTGGTGGGATAAACAAATGATAAGCTAACCAGATCTGAGAAGAAAGGAGGTGGGGTATAGGAGCCAAATCATTCGGCTTCATAGCGGTGAGTCAATGAGATGGTTTAAAATGTATACAGAAATACTGGCATGAAATAATGGGTGGTATTTAGAATCATAAAGGTCGCTTGTTTGTAGAACCCGAAATAGAAATGGCTAGAAGTGGTACCTTAGGCAGGTAGGACTGGGGCTAGGGTGGGCAGGACATGGGATTTTGGTGTTCATGTGTAATTTGAGTTTAGATACATATTAAATGCTATTTTATTATTAACCATGTGTATGTGTATGACTTAATTTTTTTTTTCCAAAAGAAATGAGTTTTTCTGGTTAATATTTATGGAGCCCTTTTTGGGGATTCATTGCCCATTTTTGTTTTTCCCTTCTTCTTCTTTTTTTTTTTTTTTTTAGATGACCGATTTCCAGAATATGGCAAAGTAGAGTTCGTGTTTTCTTACGGGCCAGAGAAAATTCAAGGTATACATCAAAGTAGAGTTCATTCTTGCAGCCCTTCCCTCCAGGCTCCATGTCCCTGTCCTGCTCCCACCATCCTCCCACTGGGCTGCTTTACGATGACCAAGTTACCTGTGATTGAGAGCAGGCCAGCAGTAAAGGATCTGAGTATCAGAGTGGACCCCTAGCTAAACATGAACCAGTGACTTACTCTCTGGATAATAAAAATAAAAAAGCAGACAGAGAGGCGCTGAGTTGGATAAACTGTTCTGGTCCTGTTAGGTCACCATTTGGTTATATTCAGAAACTGGATGGAGGGAATAGCCAAGGGGGACACTCCAAGGTGCTGGATGGATGATATTTATGTGAACTGAGGTGATTCAACCTGAAGCCCATTTAATAATAGCCTTTAAGTCTCTGGACTCTAAATATGGAGCCCAGTTGTTATTCCTCTTGAGAACAGGATGGGAGGCGATGCAGTTAGGTTACAGGCCGAGGGACTCCAGACTGAAGGACTGCTGGGCCCCGAGGTAACTCGCCCTGAAGGCCAGTCTTGCAGCTGCGCTGTCTCTGAGCTGTCTCTCGAAGGGTGGGGAAGAAACTTGGCTCTCCCTGCAAGTGTCTGTCAGGAGTGGAGAGCGTGTTAAGTGGGGGCAGGTGCACGACCTTGTAGAGGCTTGTGTCCTCCAATGTCAAGTCTGTGGCTTCCCTGCCATCACTGATCCCAGGAAAGCCTGTCCCATAGCCCTTTTCCCAACTCCAGGGCAGATTCGCTGCTCTCTAGGCCCTGACCCAGGGCCCCACACGAGGAAGAGGCAGATACCTGGCAGGGCTGTCCCCGGCTCTCTCCTGGGGTCTGCATTCCTTAGTGCCCTGTCCTGACTTACCCCTCTGACCTGGAATGAGCCTTTTCAAGAATGCACGCAGTCATATTCCTGGCTCCTCCACCTAACTGAGGCCACTGCTCCCGCCCGCCACGCTCCGGAACATGAGAGGTCTCTTAGGAGCAGCCTGGGGGGAGCTGTTGGCTTTCTGTTTTTCCAGCTGCTGATCTCTTTCCCTGTCCCTACTGTCCCCTGCCCGCCCCCACCTTTCCCATCCTGCTCAGGCATGGAGCACCTGGAGAATGGGCCAAGTGTGTCTGTGGATTACAACACCTCCGACCCCCTCATCCGCTGGGATTCCTACGACAACATCAGTGGACATCGGGAAGATGGCACGGAGGGTAGGTGGGGACCCGTGTGCTGGCCCTGTCTAGGCTGCCCAGCCCTGGCTCTCGTGGCCTTGGCTTTCTGGGAGAGGTCTGGGAGGTCTCCTTGGAGGAGGTGGCCTTATGTGAAGCTTGCGATACCTCCGTGCTGCAAACAGGGCGCTTGTTGCATTTCTTTTAAACCCTCTGCTGCCGGCTGCCAGTGTTCCCTGGGGTCGGAGCGTGGGGAATGCAGACACTTAGGGCCAGAGAGCTTTCATCCAGGGCCAACGAAAATGTTGGAGAGCTGGAAACCAACCCACCAGCTCTGGGGTGCGGAAAGGAATCTACAGAGCTGAAATGGATGCGTGGTCTGGCTGCAAAACCTGACATTAAGTCACATGGCCCCTGCAGCGGGGTCAGCTCCGGAGAGTGACATGGGAGTTCTAGCTGCTTATGTGGCTCATTTGAATGTGCATGAGGGGGCGGAGCCCAGGGACTCTTGGGACATCCTGCTTGGGGTTTGGTCCCAGACTTGGTGAAAGGACCCCAGAATGTTGGAGCTGGGGCATCGTCTGGCTAGTGGGGGTAACAGACTCGGAAGGCAGGACCTTCTGATTTATCCCCAAGACCCAGCATCGACTACTTGGTCCCTGCCCCCAGGGAAGCCAGCTGGGACCCTGGGCCGCGCGGCTGTGCGGGGTGAGGGCGTGCCCGGCCCGAGGGCCTTCTCTCTGCCCTCCTTGCTCTGTCGCCTTGTCTCCTGCCCTGATGGCTCTTCTCTGAAGCCTCCTGGGAGAGGGATCAGAATGAGCCCCTGGCATCACGGAGGCAGGACGGGGAGCGGGTGGACGAGATTCAGGGGCTCCGGAGGGTGGGTGCTCAGGTGCGGCACTGCAGGTTGGTGGCTTGTCCTCACTACCTACCTGAGCTCCCTGCCCCTTCCCAGTGCCATCTCGTCCCTCAGGGCCCAGCGTCCTCAGCCAGAGACACCCACCCACGCCCTCCCTGCCCACTGGGCTGCCCCCCCCCCCCGCCAGCTCTGCTCTTCCCTGCACCCCACCACCCTGTGCCAAGTGGCCAGGGAGAAAGCAGAGGGACGGAGGGCCGCCAGCCTCCTTGTTCGTCGTCCTGGGGATGTTTGCATTTTTAACAAGAACACTTGGCAATGTGAAGGAATTTGTAATGCTTCCCGCCTCTGCCTGATGCAGATTCAATGCGATGATAAATGTAAAAACATCTAGTGAACCAAGAAGTGCCAGGCAAATAAAAGGTAAAACAATTAAAGGCACTGGGAGGATGGGGCTGAGGGAGGGAAGGCGAGCAGACGGACGAACCAGAGGAGGCTGCGGACGTCGGAGGCTGGGGACGCGGGAGGCTGGGGAGGAGCACAGGGGCTGGCGTGGAGGCCCTGACTGCTCTCCTGCCCCTGGCCCTGCCTCCTCTCCCCTCTGATCTGCTCCCCCAGGCAGGGGGACAGAGTCAGCGGGACCTTTGGGACCATGTTAAAGGCCAGCTCGTCCTACCAGGACGGAGGGGCTCCTGTCTGCAGGCTGAGAAGCTGGTGCTCTGCCTGCAGGGGGCGCTGCTCAGGGCTCTTCTGCCCTCTTCCGTGGCCTGGCCTGCTGAGGGCTGGGACAGTCACCAGGGGAGAGCCACTCTCTGCTCCTACTGTGTGCTCTCTGCTGCTGGCTGTCCCAGAGAGCAAACGGAGCCAGTCCTTGGGCAGGACAAGTGACCAACCCCAGTCTTGCTCCTGGTTGGTGGCATTTCTGGAAGACTCCATTATGCTTCCTAGAGGTAGAAGGAGACAGGGACACTGGAGGCCTGTGTCTCTCCCTGGTGGTGGGCGACCCCTCACAGCTGGGGTGGGGGGTCTAGAACGCGTGACTCGGGTGCTCAGGAGATGCTGGAGGGGGTGTGGCTGTTCCCTGTGGAGGTCCTGGGCCGGCTGGGCAGGCTGATGGGAGGTGCCCTGTGCGTGGGGTGAGCACTCGGGCTCCAGAGCCAACTGCTGGGGGCAGATCCCTGCTCCCCCTTCATAGCGCACCCTCTTGCTCAAAGCATTTAGCCTTTCTGTTTCCTTAGTTTCCATGTCTACACAGTTGGGACAATATTATTCACTCTGTGGGATTATCGCAGTGACGTTCGTGAGAGGCGGTTTAGTATAGATGCTAAGAATGCAGTGCCTGGAGCCAAACTGCTTGACTTCAAGTCCTTGACAACATGCGGGCCCCTGGGGCCTCGGTTTGCTCATCTGTAAAATGGGAATTACTCAACAAGTCTCTTGGAGTGACAGTGGGGAGTGACTGTGGTGTTTCCACAGAGTGCCTGACACATCAGTGCTGACTGAGGCCTGTTCTTCAGAGGTCTGCAGACCCGCATGGCTAAGGGGGAAGACTGGATTTACCACGCTCCAGTCTTGGTGTCAAGAACTCGGTGGTTGCCGTCTCTGTGAGATGGGTGGTGTTATTTGCCCTGATGGGGAAACTGGGGTACAGATGGGTTCAGTAAGCAGCTCAAGGTTGCCAGGCAAGTCGAGGGCAGCTCTGGGCATGGAGCCAACCACAGTGCTGACCATGGTGCTGTCCAGGGTGGCTGACCTCCCTGGGGGCCTGTTCTGGGCATCTTGCTCTGTGCCGATATCTTGGTCCTCGCTGGAGGCAGGAGGAGTTAGACCAGGTGGGTGGGCCATGGTGTGTAGCACCCCAGAGACCACAGGCTCCCTCAAGGCAGACTGGGTCTCCCCTCCCGGTACCTGCAGGGTGCTCAGGAGTGCCCTGGGAGGGGCCAGCCTCCCCAGGTAGGTGGAGGGTGGTTGTCCAACGTGAGATGAGGCCATTGCTGGAAGTGGCCACCTCCCCTGTCTGTTTCATGCGTGCTGGAGGAGGGGGACAGGAGAGGAGGGGCAGGAGAGGCCAGCCAGTTCCTCCAAAACTCACTGGTGACTCAGAGCAGGAGGCGGGGCATCAATCGTCTCTGGCCTTTGTCCTCTTGAGTGACCTGCGTCCGCACTTGGCCCCTCTCTCGGCTGCACTCTGCTCAGAGCTCCTGGTGACCCTGACTTGACCACGTTTCAGGAACTGCTCTGTTGAAACCCTTCCTTGCTACCTGCGGCTCCCTCTTCCCGAGCTCCAAGTTCGACTCAGGCCCTGGGGCATGGGGACACTCAAAGCCCCCTTTCACTGCCTCAGTACATCCCTGATCAGTCTTGATGGCAAAATGAAGGAAGAAAATCCATATCAGGTCCCCTGATTCTCAGGAGCCTGACCTCCCAGGCTGGGGTGGCTGAGGTGGGACATGACGCCCGTCTGACGCCCTCCTGCCACAGCGAGGTTCCCTCCCATGAAGGAACCCACCTTGGCGTTAGCTCGGCTCAGGCTGTACCAGCTCCATTGTCCCCATCAAGACCTCAGAGGTCAGCAAACCTGCAGGGCCGTGACGTAAGAAGGCCGGGGTGTGGTGGCTCCGTGGTAGAGTGCCTGCCTAGCATGCTGCCCTGGGTTCCATCCCAGCACCAAATAGAAAGAAGGAGGTGGAAGTTCAATGTCAAGGATCTCTGACTAGACCCATGGCTCCAGCGGGCAGAGGAGTGCCTGCCATCTTGGGAGACCCCTCTCTCCTAGCAGAGCCGTCTGGGGATTTGATGGGCTGATGTCTCGTCTGCTCTGGCCCCGGCACAATGCGCCGCAGTCTGGGGGCTTGAAAAACAGAACTGATTCCTCACTTTTCTGGAAGCGGGAAGATCAGGTGTGAGTGGCTTGTAGATGCCGTCTCCTCCCCGTGTCTTCGCACAGTCTCCCCGCTACGTGTGTCTGGGTCCTAATCTCCTCTTCTAAGGACACTGGCCAGACTGGAGTGGGCCTATTTTAGGGACCCCATTTCACCTTAATCACCTCTTTTAAGATCCAACCTCCAAACGTAGCCACATTCTGAGGTCCTGGAGTTAGGACGGCAGCGTATGAATCTGAGGGGGACAGTTCAGTTTCCTGGGTCCCATGCAGCCGGATGCCCAGGGCCTCTGGTCCTGAGGGGGAGGAGGTGAGGGTCTAGGGGGGTCTGGGGGAGAGACCGGCCCCCACCGATCTCCTCCTTATGGGCTGCCTCTGCCTCTCTCCAATTTGGTCTGGAGCCTGCCAGCTCAGCGCCCTGGCTGACACTACCGTCTGCAGCTTCCAGAAGCCCCATTAGTTCCTTGGCCTGAGTTCTGAAGCCCCATGCCTGGGCCCCAGTGCCCCATGGGTGGGAGTGGGGTGGCATTTTTTGCCTATGCTGCACAGAGAGTTTCCAAATTCCTCCGAGCGTCCAGGGCTAGCCTTCTCGGAAACAAGGTGTAAGCACAGGGTAGGCTGCCCGCGGCCTCGAGAAACCCAGAGCCTGGCCAGGCCCTTTCCTCGCTGCCCACCCTCTACTGCCCCCATTCCCTGGCCTACTTGGGCACTGAGCTGTTGTTAAGGAGGGGATTAGGGGCTGGGGCTGGGTAGTGAGGGGTGGAGAGGTGGCCGCTCAGGACAGGCGGGAGGGAGCAAGTCCCTGGGCCTGGCTGGGGTGGCTAGTATCCATCCCACCTGGGCTATGCCATTACGTGCCCACCAACCTTTCCTTGGCATGGGCAGTCCCAGAAGAGCAGGGGCTGGTGGTAAGGGGCCTGTGAGGGACCATTTCTGCCTCTCCTCCAGGTCTTCTGAGACTTCTGGGGAAGTCTCCTTCCTGGGGCCTGGAACCCCTGGTGTGATGACTTCCTCTGAGATGGGCTTGTCCAAGGACTCTGTCTTTTGTTTTGTTTTGTCTTTTTAAGCAAGAGGGAGAGAAAGGGATAGAACACAGAGGCAGAGAGTGAGGAGAGAGAAACTGAAGTGTGCATGGAGTGGTAGAGACAGACATGGACGGACATTGGCCTACCAGGCAGGAGATTTGAATTCTAGGTGTCCATGGGGACTACTTTCCTTGGATATTCTTTATTCCTGATAAAAGGAGAGAGTTGGAGTAGACAACATGGCTTACCATTTCTTTGAGCTCAACCAGTGTTTCCCTTC